ATAATACTTCAAGCTATAATTTCAGGTTATGATCTTGATAATATATATAATGTGGATGAAACAGGTCTTTTTTTCACCCAATTCCAACACAAATATTGGAAAAGAAGAAAAAAGCAGGAACTAAAATGGTAAGAATATTTTATTATACTGGAACTTTTTTAAGGTTTTAATCTAATACTATTTTAGGACAAATCTTGATTAATTGTGTTACTTGGCACTAATATAATGGAAAGACACAAACTTCGTCCTCTGGTTATCAGCACTTCTAAGAAACTCTGATGCTTTGCCAATATTAATATCAATCAATTACCTATTATATACAAAAACAACAGCAAGACATGAATGCGAAGTGATATTTGGAAAGAATGGCTATGTTCTCAAGATTCTATTTTTCGTGCTCAAAACAAGAAAATTCTCTTGCTTGTTGATAATGCACCTTCTCATACATCATTTCAACCACTCAATTCACATGAATCTGATGAGAATGAAGACTCTAAATTGATTTTTAATGATAAAATTGACGAGTTGCAATTTACAAGTAGACAAAATCAAGATCATTAATTCTCTTACTGAAATCAAAATCAAAATCACTCTTTATTGAAACTTACCCATATTAAAATTCAATACTTTTCACCTAATACTACCACACACATTCAACCAATAGATGTGGGAATTATCAAAAGCTTTAAAGCGAAATATAAATATCAATATTGTCATTATTTTTTAGACAATTTGAAAACAATATTAATATTAAGAAGTAAGTTTTAATTATGTTAATTTAATTGTATTTAGCAATCTAACATATTTTTTATTCAAGAAATAAACTTAATGTGAAGCAAGCCATTGATTTTATTGCTCATACGTGGAATAAAGTAACCAATACTACAATTCAAAACTGTTGGAAAAAACTGGCATTTTACCTGAAACTGACCAATCAGAAATTATGAATGTGATACAACTTACTGAAGATGACATAGCAACAGATAATAATGTGATTTAAACAATCCTTTCTGATTTTATATCAAGTGATTATGAAGTAACGGATGAAGCTGAAGCATATTTACATATCATTGATGAAATAGTTCCTACTGAAGAAATTCTTGATGATAATGACATTATTGCATTGATAAAATCTCAAGAAGAAAATGAAACGAATCAAGAATCAAATGATGAAATATCACCTTTAATAATGACAATGAAAGTCATTGAATCATTACAAAAGGTAATTAGATATAATGAACAATTAGAAATTGTAAATCCTTTTAATTTCGATACTATAAGTTTATTGCACAAAAAACTTATTCAATTCAATGGGAGTATAATTATGAAATGTCAAAAAAACAAGATTTAATTACTTCATTTTTTGAATATAAGTAATAAAATTTCATTTTATATTATAAAATTTATATAGTCACCAAAATTTTTAATTTTCTATAATAGTGATTATATAAAAATTTTTCTATATAAGCACACCTCTATATAATCACTTGATTTTGGATTCTCAAGGTGGTGATTATATAAAGAGTTGATTGTATTTATTTCTCCGATATCAGTTGATATTTGTAAGTCGATTGGAAGAATTGCTTTTTGTCCGTAAAGTAGTTCAAAAGAGATATATTTTGTGGTGTCATTGTCATGAGTCCCAGACTCAGATAGGTAATTTCGTGATGTATGTGTTCAACCAATATCTATTTTGATAACTTGGTGTTTTGATCCAGTTGCTTTAGGATTATGACGCAATACAGCTTCTTCTATTCTATTAGTCTAGAATAGGTAATACTACTACTAATAAATATCTTCCTTATATTTACTTAATGTGTTGATGGTTCTATAACAATACAGTACTGATATTCTATAGCAACCTGGTTGAGTGTCCAATAGTGTATAAAGTAAGTGTTATAACAAATTAATAATTATAAAAAAAATCAATTAATGTACAATTTCATTAAACAATAAACAAGAAGCAGTTTATTGACTAGTTAGATTTTGTATTAATCAATTGATATCTTTTGATTTATCCAAAAGATTCTTTATTTATATAAAATATTTTTATGATTAAGTTATTATAATATAAGATATATTATATATGTTAAATAAATATGATATAGCGAATAATGTTAATATGTCTGAGAACTCTGCTATCTCTACAATTTATGTTTTATCACATGACTAAAATTAAGAAATTAAGAAATTAGAAATAATTCTGGACCGTAACATCATGTCTTGTGGTTCAGTAGGTGAAAAGTATTGCAGGAATATATAAAGATGGTTGCCGAAACCGAATTATTTCAGTTTTGCCGAAACTGAAATAATTTCGATATTAATATTTTAAAAACCGAATTGTCAAATTGACGAATTAAAACTGAATTATTTCGGTTTTGCTGAAACCGAAATGATTTTGATATTAAAACTGAATTGTCAAATTGATAAATAATAACCAATTAAATTATATTTATTGAT